TTTGCTATATTAAGATTTCTTTAATTTTTGAATATCACTTACACCTGATATACCAGAATATTTTGTTTTAATTGGTCAAGATGATTATACAGGGGAATAGAAATAAATACTTATTTTTAAAGCCATTTATGAACTGTCCATGAATATGGTAATTAATATAAACTACTATATCACACTTCAACGATCATATATAAATTTTATAATAAATTTTTTATAAACAAACTTAAAGCTTATTAATATCTTATATATAAATTTGTTAATTTAGCCAAGAATAATTATGTCTGACTTTAAGATATCTTATCTAATTAACAGATAAATTGTCTAATCTCTTATAAATTAAGTATTTAAAGAAAAAACAACAAACCTGGTATTATTTGATATATAATGTTGATAATATAAAAATATTTAATTTGATATATAATGTTGATAATATAGAAATATTGAATATTAAAATTCTGAATTTAAAAAAACAATATAATTATAAATAAAAAATTATTATCTCATTAAAATATTTCTGACCATTTTATTTATTGTTATTTAAATTCTATGATCCAAGTTTTTATAATGAGATAAAAAATAAACCATAATATATAAAAATGAATGTAAAAAGTACTTGATTTCTATTAGATGTTAATTATTAATAGTAGAATTATTTAATTTTTTCCTAAATTATTAGCAAGTATTATTATAAAAGCTTAAAAACTTATATATATAAACTTGTTAATTTAGCTAAGAATAATTATTTGTGATTTTAAGATATCTTATCTAATTAATAGATAATTTGCCTAATCTCTAATAAAATAAGTATTTAAAGAAAAAAACAATAAACTTGGTATTGATTGATATATAATGTTGATAATATAAAAATATTTAATTTGAAAAGATATCACCAATTTAAAAAATGCCCCCGGGAAATTAAAATTTAGGTTAATAATTTAAAATTAATTATTTTATAAAACCGTATAACGGTTCGGTTTGCTCTTTTTATATTTTCTTTATAACGATTCGGCTAAGATTACGGGTCAGAAAATCATAACGGTTCATTCCGGTTTGGCGGTTCGGTTCGGTTCGACCCTGCTTGTGGCATCTTTGCTTAACATTTATTGAAATAGGAATATATTAATGATTGTTTCTTCATAATAAAATTAACAAAGTACACTTTTTTTAAAAAGTAATTTGTCAAACTAGACAAGTTATTTGCAAGATAATTTAAAATTTATTTTATTTTTAAGATATAAAAATAATAATATACTGTATAGATCAAATTATTTTTATAAATTAAATACATAGAAATAGGTTTTTTAAATTTTAAGCATTTATATAAAAATTAATTTTATGGAAACCCACAATCTGCAGCCCTTGAAGGGTCTGTGAGAAATTTTTAATGGACGACAGTAAGCAATACAATTATAATATGTAAACACCCTTTCAACAGATGATATATCTTGAATAATTAACAATGAATCACCACATTCTGTTTTTTACATAGCAAATTGAATATTGTTATTTAAAAAAAAGCCGAACTTGAGTCTTGCAATTATGACAATACAATTTAGATATTACCAGAGGCGAAATAGTGATACTTCGGCCTCAGGGGCAAATTTTTTAGCGGGCTTATTTTTATGGGGCCTTCCTTTTTTTGTGAACGTTCTTTATGGTCCCTTTAAGACTTCTTACTAAAAATTTAATTGTAGCTATTATATTTTTAATAAAGATGAAAAAATGGAAGAACAGATGGATTTCCTTTTTTTCTAATTTGGATATCTTTTTTGTTAATTATAATCGTGATTTTTTTTTATATAAAGCTTGCGAATTGGGTTTTTCATAGGGCCGTCAAATTCATTTTGACCCCTGACTGCCAAAAGTTCACGTCTGCGTGCACATTTAAAATAGTACATTACATGTTACATATAAAATGATACATGTGCAGATTACTTATTGCACATATAAAGTCAAGCATATTGAAAATATGTTTCACACATTTAAAGGAATTAAACGAATATGATATAATTTTTAAATTAATAAACCTCATATACTTCAAACTTTGGCGCAAATAAACAAGAAAGTTATCTAGTTCAATTTGCGCCAATAACTTTATTTCATCGGATGCCGATAAAAATTCACGCAATTTATCTTGTCTGATACTTAACCTTAGCTTAATTATTTTTATCATTTTCAATTTTACTAAACTTTTTTTACAATTGACTAAATGATAATGTTAAAATAAATTAATAGGCAAAAAAGATATTAATTTATGTATTTATGTGCATATCATAGCGCTCGATTACACTTTATTTTGCACTCAGGTTTATTATTAAGTTATTTTCCTTTTCAATGATGGTCTCTATCAGTCCAATAGAAATAATATCGTCAGTATTTTATTTAACCCACCTATTAAATCTTGATCTTTGTAAAAATAAAGATTTTAATTTGACACTGGATACATTAACCCATTGTAAAACTTACTTTTCACAAATATTTTAGATATTCATTTCATCAAAATACCTAGCAGCTTTAAATCAGAAAATTATAGAATGGGTGCGAAGATTATAAAAGATAGAGTAGACTTGGCATCTTTAATCATTTTCTGATAAAATAACTAAAAAAAATTTTAAATCGAAAAGTAGCCCAATTAAATCAAAAAAAAATGAAATTAGCATTTTAAATTTGCATAGATTCCCAATCAATAGGCTTACCAATCAATTATTAACTTGTTTACATATGCCAAAGGAGTTGTTATTTTCGGTTTCAAAATGGTTCAATATTTAAGTTGTACAGGGGAGCAAATTTCTTTAAAATATTTTTTTAAACTTTAGAAAGTCTTAAGTATTCTAATTTTTTCTTAAAAAATATCGATTTTCTTAAATTATCTATTTTCGATGGTGATAAAAAATTTCAATATTATTTTTTCCCCTTCTCCATTTTTTATATTTATAAAATAATTTTTTTTTGTAAAATTAGATGTTACTTGAATTCTATACTCAATTTACCATTAAACACTTTTATTTTATCGTGAAATTCATTATATTTTAAAATATATTATTAATCCGTCAAGAAAAAACGATATGAAGCAACTCTTATAGAAAATTAGAATGGAAAATAATAAAATAGTGTTAAAAGAAAATGATTCTAAAATGGATGTAACACCCAAGTCTCCAACTAGTCATATATTAAGGCGGAAACTATTTTAAAGGACATAAGAAAAAACTAAATCAAATAATGATAATAAAGTGAAAAATATTTTTAAGGACAAAGAAAAAATCAAATCAATTGATGATAATGGACTTGTGAATATTTTAAAGAAAAAGTAATCGAAATCGCACAATATAGAGGCTAAACCCGAATATGGTCAAAACGAAAAAGTGGAAATTGAGAAAATACAATCAGCAGAAATCAAGGAATCTAAAACCTACATATATAAATCAAAAATATACCATGATAACTCCTGGGACGATGAACCAGCATCTCAGACTAAATTATAACAAATCTATAAGGGAATTGGTGATCAAGAGAAATCGACAGTTAGATAAAAGAAAAAGAGGAAAACCAAATTAAGTTTAAAAAAAGCCTTGCTTATTGCCTGATCGAATTTAAATATTTATTTGTCCATCAATTTAATATGGACAATATAACCATGGTCTACCCTAAAAATTATAGACTATTATAATTAACCATTTTTATGTAATATCAATTCTAACACTGAATTCCTTGAACCCCAAAGAGTATTCTTTTTTTTTTAAATATTATTACTGTAGAGGAATGAACCCCATTATAGGATAAATATTTATGTATATTTTTACTACACAATATTGTTAAATTTTATAAAATCTATTTTTATCGAGGAAATTTTTATACCCTCGAAACATTGTTGTTTGTTGTATTCTTTACAACATTATTTCTCGGATCAAACTACATTTAAAAAAATGAATAAAATGTATATACTGCCACTATTTCTCGGGTCGTTTTGCTAACGCTAGGCTCGTTTTCTCATTGGTTGCAATTGATTATATTTTATTTGACAACCAATTTATAATAAAACATTTTTTCAATAGTTTCATCTTTTTAAAATATTTTTTTAGCATAAATATGTAGAAAAAATTTATTCAAACATTTTTTTAAAAAAAAACTAATAACCTAGTCTGTTAGTTTAAATAAATGCTTATTTATTTTTCAAATTATCAATTTGAATTACTCCAATTAATTTTAGTAAGTGAAAAGTATTAATACTTCGGCAAATCAAATTTATGATATCCACATCCAATAATCGATTACGTTTTTAACATTATTTTCATGCATTAAATGGCGAGTATCAAAGATTAAATATACCTAGGATTTAAATTTGATGTCTATTCTTATTATAAAAAATCTAAATAATAAATGGGAAATTCTGAATAGGTTTTTTTAAATATTCCCAAACCGATTAATTGACGTAATTTTAATTTATTAAGATTTTTATTTTTCACTTTTTATGACCGGCCTAAATTTTTAAATCTTTAATCTTAGTCTGGATTTTTTAAAAAATCTTATCATTTTTTATCCCGTTCCTGACCGCGTCTGCAGTTCTTTTATATATAAGCTTTTAATTCATAAAAAAATGCCGTAGTGAACCATGCAGATAATTCATCTTTTTATGTTGTGATTGCGGTCATTAAAAATTTGGGGAAAAGTTTTAAATCGTTAAAACAAAAAACGCTAAAAATTAGGTTTCCTAGAAAATTTTTAAAGGCTTTCTGTGAAAGAGAGTGAGAGCGCAAACGTAGCGCAGCGCTCGAGGGTTATTACATTATTATTAGTAAAAGACACATGCCAAGATAATTAAATTCGTTATAATGATTATACAAAGGTTTTATTATATTCCAATGAACAACAAGATTTACAATAACAAAGATTATCAGACATTTAAATTTATAGGAATCGATTAAAATTTCTAGGGGCCGAACTGATTTCAAAAAATATCTAATAAGACAATATCCTTTTCTTTTATTTAATAACAAACATTAATTAATAAAAAAAAAGCAACAAATAAAGATAAAGCTCTAAATTATATATAATATATTAATTATAGATAAAACAAAATATAAAAAATATACATATAAATGTTATCAACTTATGTAAAAAAAATTTACTTTTTTAGTAAATGAATGAAATAATATCTTTTTGGTAAAAGCTATATCAAAATATTTAAAAAAACGGGATAACATAAATACAATTTTTTTTAGCCATTTGATTTGGTCCTATAAATACCCTCTATAAATATTTTATTTCGTAAATTAATAAGGATGTCAACAACTAAATGGTTGAGAACGAAGGTATATATATCATTTATAGTATAAGAAAAGTATAAATATCCTTTAAAAAAAATGGTAGTATCAAAAGATGACAACTGTTATAAGGTATAATAAATATCAAAATTAATCTAATAATATGTTTTATGTAATATAAATGATATATTTATAATTGCATATGGAAACAGGCGAAAAAAAGTATTGTATAAAACTTTATGGTATAAAAAAAATATGTTTGCATAATATAATATTTAAAAAATAAAGGGCCAGATGGGGTAGGGTAAAGATTTTATATTGATTCATTTTTGGCTAAGGTTTTGGAAAGTGTTAATCATATCTTTAACTTTGCCTCTCTTCATAGACACCTTTTCGATGCTTGGATCAGGATCGACAACATTGTTGCTATCGTTGGATGACTTGTCAAACATGAGCATACTTTTTTGTTTCTCATTAAACTATTCCATAAAAAAAAAATATTCAATTTGATAGAAAAATTAAAATATGATAACAATTTGGGTTGATAAGATGAGGAGAGCAGCAAAAATTTAGCATTTTATTGACAGTTCGAGATACATCCAAGTTACAGCTATACCATTGGCTTCCAAAGGTCTAGCTCTCTTTAAGCCACTGATATGTAAATAAGCAGTTAAAAGGGCAATCCCCTAGAATTCTACCATTTGAAGTTTCAAATAGAAATTCTCAAATTTATATGTTAGGCTCCATGCCCTCCCCCTATAATCTTTTCTTTATATATTTTGTATTTTAGTGTTCATCAATATGATCATAATAAATAAAAATCAAAAAAATTAAATTTTTATTTAAAAAAAGCAAAGATATGTTTAGGTTCACCATTAGCTATTAGTTACAAAGATCAATTAATGCTTGTAATAAAATGAGTGAGCAAGAATTGTCGTCTATAACATCTCAAACTGATCTGATCATTCAATCCTCCTGCAATCTTTTATAAATGAATTGATTGCTTTTGATCATCATTAGCAATTATTATAATTTCCTTAATATTAACACTGTTTTAGGAGCTACTCGATCATTGTTAGCAAAATATTTGAAAGCACCTTGTTATTATATATTTTTTATATTAAGTTTAGTCAATGATTCATCAGAATATTTTTTTATGTATGTATTTTAATGAATTCTGTAATATATATGAAATGTTGTCAAATAAAAATATAAGGAATTTAAATATTTTAACTAACTTTTATAAACCCTTCATTGCATAGGTGAAAAAAAATCACGCGAGAGACTAGATAATACCCTCAAACCTCAATTAAGAAACACTATATATTAAAATCAAATTAGCTTTCATATTTTAAAAATATATTAAATAAACTCTAAGGTAATGATTTTAATAATTTAATGTTATTTTATCATTTTATGACAGCTTCTAAGTGAGTAACAAATATTCTTAAACTGACACATATAATTAAATACCATAAAATGATATCAAAAATTGAAATATTGATTAAATCACTGATACAACTAAAAAAAGTGTTTTATTTATTATGCTTAATATTTCAATGCCAAAACAGATGAAAAAAGTTATACAGATGACCCCCTACCTATCTTTTTCTTTCCTTTACTTATTCTTTACCTTTCAATACCTGACTTATATGTAGTGACCATAGGCGAGTTGGTTTAAAAAAAAGAGAAATATGGGAAAGGATAATGGTGATTGTCTCGGTTAACATATAATAATAAAAATAAAGTCAAAGATAGATCATCAGAGATATTTTTAGGAAGAAAAACAAAAACAAAATTAAAAAGAAAAAAGGAGACAGAATCAGGCGCGTACGCAGGAATTTGGTCTGGGGGGGGGATAATAATAAAATTTTTCAAGAAATATTATTGTTAATTAAAAATACTAAGCATAAATTTATTAGGACTAATAACTTTTCTAATACACAATTTTAAACTAATGTGAATTAAAAAAATTATATAAACCGGCATTGAAAAACTATAAAATAAATGTGAATAATAAAATATAAAGTGAATATAACCCACGATATGAATCACCTAAATGACCCAAAATTGAAATTTGAATTTTTTGAGCTTTTAAAATATATAAAGTATAAAAAATTTAAATGTTGGAAATATAAATTAATACACAAAAAGTTTCTTAGGAATAATTGTATTTTGTATGTTTTGAGCTAATTTTCCAATTATCTATCCTTGCTTGGCGTTAAATGCCTACGAATATTCAAAAGATCCGAATCATTCAATCTACTTTCAGATGTTATATTTCATAGGTATGTTTTTCACAGACTTACAGGCCCGGCCCCAGAGCCGGACTGTATTTTAATTTTTTTTAAATATACCCGGGTGGGGCCCGTAATTTTTTTTAAAAAAACACCCGAGCCGGGCCTTAAAATTTTTTTAGGAAAAATATTCGGGCCGAGCTGTATATTTTAAAACCAAATATTTGAAATCGCCATTATTAGCTATTAATATCAAAAATAAATATAATTTATTTTAAAAAAATTCGGGCCGTGAAAATTTTATTTTCAAAAAAGCCGGGCCGGGCCTGAAAATTTTTTTAAAAAGAACCTGGGCCGGAAAAATTTTTTTTAAAAAATCTGGGCCGTGTCCTGCAAATAGTACCTCTTAAAAAAGAGAATGTTCTCTCATTAGTTTATTAAAGAGCTGCTAATATATATATAACCATTTTAATATATTGGGAGTATAATCTAAAATGTGTTTAAAATAATGCAAAGCATCCATAACATTTTTCGGGACTGTATCAACCATAGTTAATCTTTAAATCATAGTTATTCAGCTAATAAGGCATCATAAGATATTTTAACATCTTCATGATAAAAATCTAACAAATATTTATATTTTTTTTCTATCACCATATGAAAAAGGTTGGGAGAGGGGACATTTGTTTTATAATACTCTTCTACTGATCCTATATTAATGTTTTGACGATGAGCTTGCTTGCTGCAAGTCGAGGGGGACAAATTTTGAACACGTATACCTCTGCTTTTGACTCAACAATAACATATAAAATATGAAATTCTTCATCAACATTAGCTCTAATTTCCTTGAGTTCTAATAAAATGCTCTCCGCTATTCTCATCTTCTTAATCAAGTCAATGTTATGTTTTTGAAAAGTATTACATAAAGTAGTTGTATAATTAAATAATACATTAATGAGAAAAAAAATTTAGAATAAGTATTGAATCCAATAATTTTGCTTCTGAGGAAATATTTCTTTCAAGCCATTGCGATATTTCAGTAATAGCATTAATAATCGGCTCTTCTAACTCCATAAAAGCTGTTACTACTTGATGGCGGAGACTCGATCTCGTTGGACAAGCTTGCAATTTCTTTCTCCCTGTTGGACAAGGAGTTTCAGAGATAATTATTATTTGACTAGAAATTTAGATAAATATTACGCCACTAAAATTTTTAAATAATAGGTAAATTACGCCAAGGAAAACTTGATATCGAAATTAATTGATAAAATAACTTAGTAGATGAATGTGATAAATAAATGTAATTAAATATATATATATGAGATAGGAATAAATATTAACAAATATAAATTAATATTAACAAATAATATTTTTGAAAAATATAATCCGGCATCTGAATTTTTTGGCTTGGGGGGGGGGGGGATTTGTCCCCCTGCCCCCCCCGCGTACGCGAATGGACAGAATGAACAGATAATAATTGAAGAGAAATGGCAGATGGGAAAATTAGTATGGGTTTTGTTGTTACATGGTCCAATAAAATGGGGGAAGGGAATAGTGAGAAAAAAAAGTTAAAGGATAGATTGAAGGACAAAAGGGACCATGACTTAGATATGTGAAACAAATAAGACCGAGAATGGAGACCTCTTCAACTAGATAGACCAATAAAGTAATGTTGAAATTGGTTAAAAGATAAAAAAAGGGTAGAAGTGTTAAAAAAAAAAGGAAAAATGAAAAGGTTCCGTGGAAAATGAAATAGTTTTTGTTGAAAAAAGAAGGCTGTAAGTAAGGTATAGAATCAGGAATCTAAACCGAAACACAAATATCGGTTTGGTTCAGGTTTGGTAAAAATAACGGTACAAGATTCAGGCGCGGTTCGAACCTCTAAAAACCGGTTTGAACACTTTTGTATTCAAACCTACATTAGAATTATGTATAGGGAAGAATATTTTTATTTATTCCATAATTAAAATAAAAAACACATACATAAAACCTTCATTTTTATTAATTGCACATTATAAAATAATATTTAATTTATAAATATAAAATTTTAATATGAACAATTACTAAAAAAAAATTTTTTTAAGCCGCACAATTAATATATTTTCAAAATTCGTCTCACTCATACATCTATAAGGAGATAATATAAATATAATTGTTAAAAAACATCTTCACACTAACTTGAGTAACCGGCACTGCCAGTATGATATCAGATTTGATGTGTCATTTATAATACTATATGTAAATAATTTATATATTGGATTTAATTTTTCTCTAAGCATTATAATTTATAATCTTAAATATTTAAAAATGTTGTAAAATGGCAATAAACTAAAGTTTATAAAAATTACAATCAAATGTGATTGATAATAATCTTTAAAACAATTCGAATATAATTAAAATTTTTGCAATATACTTGTAATTTACACATTATTTTATAAGCATGATTATGAGACTCGAACCGGTTCGAGGTATTTTAGAGGTTAGGTTCGGCTAGAAATTTTTTAGCGGTTTAGGTTCGATAAAAAATACCAGTTTTTAGCGGTTTAATGGTTCTGTTCAAATTCGGTTTGGATCCCTGTATAGAATAGGCAAAGGAAAGAAAAAATATAGGGAGAGGATAGATTAATAAACAAATATTAATTATATTTTTAGATGGCATGGTAATCGTGTCTTGAAATTGGTTAAATGCGGCAAGAGAAGAAGCGATAAGATTATTTAATGATATTAGAAGAAGCCCTGAAGGACCTATAAGAACACACAGAAATACAGTTGGAGTACCATATCTACTACCACCGCCAACGATGCAGAGTTTGCGGGGGAGACAACCTCATGAGATATTGTACAGAACCCGTTCTCGTAGTAAACAATAAACCGTTAATCGTCGAACATAAGTGCCCCGATTGATGATTAAACAAGGGACAAATACCGCCCCGAGCAATACTAAGGGAAAGTTTTTTGTGTGATTTATTTTAAAATATTTAATTTGTTGGATTTTTAATAAAAGTTAATTACAATATATAAATTCCATATATTCTTATTTGACAACATTTCATATATATTTATGTATAAATATTTAAAAAAATTATATTATCTTTGATTTTGATATGCGATATTCTGTCTTGTGAGACCTTTCGGATGCGAAAGGAGAAATGTAATAACTTTTCCCATAAGCGAGTTACACAAGGTATCCTATGTAAGGAGGGGAAAGCCCTTAGCCAGGAATGTATTATCCAAAAATGCTC